GGGGGGTTGAATAGGGAGGGGGGGGGGGTGATTAGAGCCTACCTGTGCTTACTCTGCTCTCTCCCCGGCTGCTGCTCCTTCCCCTGCTGGCTGATCAGGCTCTCTGTGTGAGAGGAGTAAACAGGAAGTGATGTCACTTCCTGGCCCCGCCTCTCCCATCACACAGAGCACCGCGTGGGACTGGGAGATGGAGACCTGGCAGAGAGCTGCTGAAGCTGCCAGGTCTCATAGGGGGTGATTTACAGGGCGGTAGATTGTGGGGCCCCAAGCTGCATCAGGGGCCCCACAACCTATCAATGAAATAGTTTTATTTTTTTTAATTTTGCCATTCCAGTTGGAGAGATCTCTGATCTGATCTCTGATCTCTCCAGCTGGAGCATGGCTGTGCGGCCGGGCCCCTGACTGCCTCGGGCCCTCGGTCCATGACCGATGTGCCCGAGTGGTCAGTCCGCCCCTGCATAAGGTTATCCTAACTATAAGACCAGGGACTAATGAAAGTATTCAGAAAATACTAGATGGGCCAAATGGTTCTTATCTGCCATCACATTCTATGTTTCTCTTGTAAGAGCTGTTCTTGTTCCTTTTCCTGCTCTCAGGATTTAAGGAGAGGTTCACCCACTGGAAGCTGGAGCCCGGTCTTGGGTCCAGGGTGGGTGGAGGACTGCGAAACCCCAACCAAGCTGCGGCGGTTCATGGGGTTTGCGATAGTTATGGTGTCGATTGCGGTGCTGAAGGTCCTTGGCGAGCATTAAGAGCATCGTTTGATGGAGGCACCCAGTCAGGGTGGCAGGCGTTCCGTCACAGTCTCCCTGTGCCACTGTGTTGTGAGCTCTCCGACTGTACTTATGGCATAATTTGCAAACTAGATTAATATGCAATAAACTAATTTAATTAGCAATTATGCTAATCATTTATACACGACTGCGGGGTATGATTCCATAGCCTTGCAGTTGAGTATACATTACTGCCAGCGTGTGTGTATTTCTGAGTGTGTCTGGCATTGTCTACCTGTGTATGTGCATGAAAGTGTGTGTCTGACAGAGAGTCTCCTTGTGTGTGAATGTCCTTATGAGTATGTGTCTGGGACCTTGTGTGTGTGGGGTGCTGCTTGTGGTGTGTGGTGTTTATGGGGGCTGCCTGTGACCTTTGTGCATGTGTGTATGATGAATGTCTTCGGTTTGTGACTGTGACAAGGTGAGTGTGACGGACCGCCTGGCGCCTCGACCGGGTGCCTCTGTCAATCGATGTTCATAGTGCCCGGTATGCCTCATTCAGCCACAATTCTTTCCTTATCAACCGCTGAAGTTCCAGTACCCACTCTCCCAGGGGCAGACATCCCAGGAAGTGCTGCTTGTTTCTGGCTTCGCTGTTCTCTGCTTGGGAGGCTCTCTCCACTCCAAGGCCTCGTGCCAGAGATCTTGCCGTATCCCATCTTTTCAGGCCGGCTCCTCCTCTGCTGAAATAGGGCCATACATCTGGGCCAAGGCATTTTGTAGTCTCCAGAGGATTGTGACGCTGCACGGGGGCTAGCTTGCTCCATCCCCTTGAGTTCCTCTGAAGCCTGCATGTCACGTATTCATCCACATGTAAAAATGTGATTAATGACATTTACTGTTCTGACAGAAAAAGTTGTGCCGAGCAGCAATCAAATTCACATGAGGGTTTGTTCTGAGCAACAACTATGCAAATGGGAACCTGGTAACTGCCTTTAGGGTCAATGGTTGATTACAGCCTATCAGATCCAGAGGATGGGTATTTAGGCTCAGTTCTCATCCTCCTCAGTGCCCTGTCGTGGTTGTCCGAGAGCGCGTGGTTCTCCGAGAGCGCGTTCCTGATTCAGGTTTCTTCTGTTTTTTTGACTTTGGCTTTGATTTTGACTTCCCTGTATTTTGGTATCTGTGGTGCTTTTGTGTAATACCTCTTTAATTGGAACTCAGCTGCAGAATTTTCTGAGGGCAGGAACAGTAAGTTTCACCTCCTATTATATTGGAGTGAAATCAGTGGACTGTATCTTTAAATAATAATCAGGAAAATGCCAAGTTAGTTCCAACTTGAATTTTAATAATGAAGTTTTAGCCTTAGCAGCAATCCTTATTTGTCAACAGAGAGTTTAAAGAAATTAAATACTATAATTAATTGATATGACTTGCTTTCCTTGACAAAAGATTTACTTAACTTAGAAGCACTCTGGCACTGGAAGGGTTAATTCACCCAATGGAGGAAGAGGAAGGAGTCTCTTTTAACAAACTGCAGTTTAGTAGTGAGAGAAAGGAAGTCCGTTTGTCCAAGCCGAGGTCTGAGAGAGGAGAAGGTAGAAATCCGTTTACAAGCCGAGGTCTGGGAGAGGAGAAGGTAGAAATCCGTTTACAAGCCGAGGTCTGAGAGATGAGAAGGTAGAAATCGAATAGAGCAGCTGATCTCACTGCCGCACCTGAGTGAATAATCCAGCACTTTGAATCTGGCGCGGTCTTCCTAAGTGTCGTGGAAAGACCGCGTCAGAAAAAAGGGGCGGAGCTAAGCGCCGTGAACCCGGAAGTGGGTTCCGGCGGCAGCATGACTGTTAGGTATACCTGACAGTATCCCTGACTTCTGGCTTTCCCTAATCATTGTGTCTCTTTCTGTATCCCCTGACCTCGGCAAGTATCCTGACTACTCTTTGGTACATTAAGTCCGGCCATTCTAAGGCCCGGTAATACAATACCTATTAGTCATCTGTGTGACACAATTCTACGTGCTGAATCAACTAGTAATCCTGGCACTGCATCAGTGCTAGTGTTGCCCTCAATTATAGATCCATACGATACCGGTGTCTCCAGGGTGCTTCTCCTCGCACTAGGAAGCCATCCCACCGCTACCACCAAATGTGACAGACCGCCTGGCGCCTCAACTGAGTGCCTCCATCAATCGATGCTCCTATTAATTCTAATCCAATTATCTCCAAGCACAGTAAAAAAAATTTTTAAAACACCCCAAAAGTACCCTAAAAATACACTGCTCAAAAAAATTAAGGGAACACAAAAATAACACATCCTAGAGCTGAATGAATTAAATATTTTTCTGAAATACTTTGTTCTTTACATAGTTGAATGTACTGACAACAAAATCACACAAAAATTAAAAAATGGAAATCAAATTTTTTAACCCATGGAGGTCTGGATTTGGAGTCACACTTAAAATTAAAGTGGAAAAACACACTACAGGCTGATCCAACTTTGATGTAATGTCCTTAAAACAAGTCAAAATGAGGCTCAGTAGTGTGTATGGCTTCCACGTGCCTGTATGACCTCCCTACAACGCCTGTGCATGCTCCTGATGAGGTGGCGGATGGTCTCCTGAGGGATCTCCTCCCAGACCTGGACTAAAGCATCTGCCATCTTCTGGACAGTCTGTGGTGGATGGTGCGAGACATGATGTCCCAGAACGTTCTCCACGGCGTCTCCAGACTCTGTCACATGTGCTCAGTGTGAACCTGCTTTCATCTGTGAAGAGCACAGGGCGCCAGTGGTGAATTTGCCAATCTTGGTGTTCTCTGGCAAATGCCAAATGTCCTGCACGGTGTTGGGCTGTAAGCACAACCCCCACCTGTGGACGTCGGGCCCTCATAAAACCCATATGGAGTCTGTTTCTGACCGTTTGAGCACATTTGTGGCCTGCTGGAGGTCATTTTGCAGGGCTCTGGCAGTGCTCCTCCTGTTCCTCCTTGCACAAAAGCAGAGGGAGCCCTCCTACGGCCTCCTCCACGTCTCCTGATATACTAGCCTGTCTCCTGGTAGCGCTCTGGACACTACGCTGACAGACACAGCAAACCTTCTTGCCACAGCTCGCATTGATGTGCCATCCTGGATGAGCTGCACTACCTGAGCCACTTGTGTGGGTTGTAGACTCCGTCTCATGCTACCACTAGAGTGAAAGCACCGCCAGCATTCAAAAGTGACAAAAACAT